CAACGAACGTGCTCAACTTCAACAATACTCTCTGACTGCAGTTCAATTACTCACTACACTGTTTCCGTCACATTGTGACCGTCTTATATATATATACAAGACTAACACATTCTTGAAGGAACAGGATATTTCTAGAAAACGTGGCGTGACACTAATCACGTGACCTCGCTGACGCAACAATATTGTTAAAAGTATCTAAATAGTGGATGATGAATAAGGTTTGTTCAGACACTAGCGCTGGAAAATCGTTTACATCACAATAAACAAAGCACTTGTTGATTGACTATATTGTTAGGGTAGATTAGGCACTTATAACAAAATTGAATATGGTTTATTTAGACACTATCGCTTAAAAATCTATTGCTGCTCACATCGTAATAAAAAATAACTTGTCGAATAGACGTTCAATTGAGTGTTTTTTGTACTATGGAAACGTAAAGAATTATAACAGACCAGTAAAGAAACTTTCAATAGAACAATATCCCAAAACAAGGTTATAACTAGATTTTAACTGATTTTAACAGTAGTGACTCAGAAACACCAACTGATAGCTCAAGAATTCTTCGTGTATTTATAGCTTCAGATTTAAAAAAAAACTTGTTTGTTTCTTTATTAAGTTGTTTTTACTGCCTTACACTTGTAATTTTCTTTTCGTTGTTCATCTTTTTGGACTTTGTTACTTTCATTTTCGGTTTTAATATTTTAAGGAGGCATGAAAAATGTTTATAAAGCAACTTTTTCGTATATTTATTATTTTTCTTTTTTTACTACGGAGTATAGAGGGCGTGACTCACCGGCCAATCTTTGACAAGACAGTGCAAATCAAACATCTGAATGTAGTCGAAGCACACGGGATTCTTTTGTTTCGTGCAGATAAAGGTAGGTGATGTTCTTGCGTTTTAAATGTCTCAATCATAAACCCGATTTAATAACGAGATAGATTATAAACTTTAATTTGTTTTATTTCTATAACTCCGTTAGGTCAAATCTAGCTAAATCTCAATGAAAATGTGTTATGTAAAAACAAAAATATACTTTACACAAACTGATAACAATATGATTAGTATTTGTTAATGTCTCAAAATCGAAACCTATCCTTTTAGGATATATATATTTTCTTTTTAATGATTTATTCCGTAACTCATACATCTATAGCACTATTCTCGTCATTGCAACAAGTTTTAATAACATTAACAGTCCCCGTCCCACCAAACATGCTCGAACTTTCAGCCGTGAGGGCGTTATAATGTGATCGTCAATCCCACTATTCGATAGTAAAAGAGTAGATTAAGAGTTGGCGGTGGGTGATGATGACTAACGGCTTTCCTTCTCGTCTTTCACTGTTAAATTAGGAACGGCTAACGCAGATAGCCCTCGTGTAGCTTTGCACAAAATTCAAAACAAACAAACATTAACAGCGTAAAAAATAACGTGAAACTGAAAGTACACTGAACTGGTTAAAAATAAAATCGTTTTAAGTTTAAAAAGTTTAATTTAAAAATAAAGAACGATGTTGTTAGAGTTTCGGGCAAACGACCTTTAGCCAAACATATTATTTCTCTTTTCTTTAAGAGTGAGTTTAACTATTTTTGTTTCTTATTATTCGGAGCACGATGCATATTGTGGCAAGGAATAATGTAATAAATTCCTCAAAATGCTAATCAGATACTACTTCTTCGAGACATTGTTTGATAATTTAATTGTGGTTCAAAAACGAATAAAAATACAAATTCATGACATTGATTTTTTGTGTTTATGTTTTTTTAAGAAGTGAAAAAAACAGTTAAGCTGAATCATGTAACCAAAAACAGATTACAAACCATAAAGATATAGAACCTAAAAAACACCCTCAAAGTTTTGTAACCCTCGAATGAAATTTGCTTCACTTTTCTCTAATACGTGGTAGAGATGTCTAGAAATAGAATAAACTGAAAAGTCCTTTGCAATTTTATAAAGTATCAATACTTGAATTACGATTACATTTTGAAATTTCGTAAAATATTTTGAAGATGTTATATTTTTTAAATAATTGATATATTCGACGAATGACGTTTTCGTACTTGAAATAGGGAGAGACAGCAGAATCTATGTCTACAGACTTTCGGATTTTGAGAGTGAAGCTAGTGAAAATGGTGTTCGAAATAAAACCGACTTGAGAGATCACAGACTGGAAAAAACGAAAGGTATCGGAAAAACAAATCCCCTCGTTGAAATCCATAAATAGTATTTGGTTTAAATTTTTTATCAATCATTTGGTAAAATGTAAATTTTGTTTAATCTTTTGTAGACTATCAATATTCAATATAGCGAATAAAAATATTTTATCATAAATACCTTTTGAATATACTTGTACTAAAGTAGGTGGCGATGCTTGATAATAGTGATATACTTTTTCAAAGTGATTTTAATTTAAATTACATGGGACATTCTAAGATATTTCCATGTACAGTTTATTTTCTGTTCCTTTTACGTGTTTAGAATATTATTGAAAATATTATAATGAGAAAAACGTTTCATGTTAGAGTGATTTCATCGGGCTTCAGTTACTGGTAACTAAATGGTGTGTGTGTGTAGGTCTACCTAGATGAATTTTTTCATGACGTGAATATTTGTATACCTTGGTTATTGTTCTAATTTTGATTTTTACATAAACCTCTATTTCATTCCACATTATTAAGGTTATCTCGTTTATTCTTTAAAACTTGGGTAAGCATTTGAATAGCCATAAAGAACAGTCCATTCAAAACCCGTCGCAACTATTAAATAGGCTTATAATTCTATCCCTAAAACTAGAGTGACAGTTCCCAGACAGTAAATTTTGATGTTTATTTTATTTTTAAAATACAATGACGTTGTAGGGCGCATTTTATAGAGAATTTAATTTTGAGTAAGTATAATAAAAAAAACGAACAAGGGATGTTAATAATTGGCCTAATAAATTTTAGTCCTTTTGTGTCAGTTTACTGGCTCTTTCTACGTCAATTTATACTGCTCGTATTAATTTAGCTCTTCTTTCGACCAGCACCAACCTCAAGTACCCCCTCACACACACAATCACCGTCTTAAAACAACTGCAAACTCTGCCTTTGTAATAACGTATAAGTAACCCTCTGGTTCCGTCAGTCATGCTACAGACTTAATAGCTAAGAAGAAATAATCAAACCGTCTGTACAAAATATCCTAAAGAAATATAAGTTCTCCAGCCTTTTCTCTCACATGACTGAAACAGCTTACACTTTAAAGATTTTCTAATTAATATGAAAGAATGATGGGATTGTTAGACTTTCCAAAATTCGTTGTTTTTTTTTTCTCGAACCACTGGATGAAGAACGTCAAGTCTGCTGGCTATCACTTTACTTGAGACTAGAACCATTCATAATAATATTGGGTTTCTGACGTAAGCCTAACCGGTGTGCGTGTGTCATACACACTTACTCAATTGTACCTGTCGACGTTGAATAAATGACAGGTTTACATTGCTTTAATCAGTTACGTTTAATAATTGACGGCCACTTCTAGAAATTTAATATTTTTTAGCATCTTTTACCAACTTAAATCATTAAAGAAAGTTCAAAGGAATCTCTATTTAATTAATTATAACATTCAAATATTTTGTCAAGTTTTTTAGTACCTAACAGAGTATGTCTTTCCTAATACAAATTGAAGTAAGAGAGAAAAGATTAAAAATAAATTACATCTATTGAGATGGTAGATCGGGTTAGGGTTAGCGTTTGTTTAAATAGATACTTCGGAAACGTAGAAGAGCAAAGAAACTCGAATATTGGTTGAAAGTATCAGAGATACTTTTTGATTTCGTAAATAAAATTCATCATTACAAAAATGTAATTAATTTTGATTCTATCTAAAATACAGTAGTTATTTTTCTTTACCCTTGTTAATGAATTGAGATATAGATTTAATTTTATTTACGTGTGAGCAAGAATAATCGTTGTACTGTCCACTAATTTGAGACATTTTATGAAAAAAAAATTATAAAGTGTGTAGAGTTTTATAACACCAAGTTAAATTTGAGTTAATTTCGTTATTTTATAACCTTTTTTAACTTTTCATTAACCTTTACCATAAAATTTTGAAATGGTAATAGAAAAAAAAAGTGTGGGATCGAAACCTATTTGGGTTTTCACATGTAAGAAAAAATTTCTATCTTCGTATAAAAGGAACAGGGTGTAGCTGAAAATTAATGACAGGTTGTCGTAAAAAATATTTCTAAAAAAGTGTGTTCTTCCTGTAGATAATTTGAATATTTTTTTCACGGTACCGTTTTTAATGAAATTGAATAATTTTATAATAAAACTTGTTGCTTCAGTAATAAAGCATCTCAAACATACGATCTCTAATAATCACTTAGGTTGCCATTTATATGCCATTAGTCGTCCTGGAGACAGTCACCTTCGTATGGTTGTAGCCATTGGGCGCCGGTTGTTGGTGCTACAGTGGCGCCACTCCACGGCATGGACAGCATGGTGTGCATCATCAGATACTGATACAGTGGATGGGTTTCAACTGATTAGGGTAAGTACTGCCGTTTTACGTGTAATGCTGATGTACAGAAAGTATGCAATCATAATGTTTCGACCATACGATTAAATAAAGATAAAGTTTACAAGTATTTACTTAACTATACTATAAGTTGTAATTTAAAATTATATTAAGCACAAAAGAAACTAATTGGTAAATCACTGTATAATAATTTGTATGCGATTACTTAGTTCGTATAAGTTTGAATTCTAAAATGCGTCAAATGTATATAATATCACGTTTTTAGTTTTAGGGCGGAATTTTGTTCTGAACTTATTGTTAGCGTTTCTGGATCGTTAATATTTCAGTTTTATGTTTTCGTAAGCTGTTAAATTTTGTGATATTTTTTGTTCCACCTATAATGGATGAAACTTTGATCACATAGTTTCTGCTAAGTCATATTTACTCCAAACAAATCAGTTTCGGGGAAAAACATTCCACATGGCCTTCGACCCACTTCAACGGATGTTCAAGCAAATACATTGAATGGGTAATAAACAGGAAAAAAAAAACGGAAATTTGGTTATATCTTGTAATGGCTCCTATTTAATTATAGATATTTTTGTTTTAATCATACGGGTATAATGAGCATTCATGGTTTAAAATCCTTTAATATGATTCCTTCATACACTTGAATGTAAACATCTACAAATATCTGGTGAGCAAATGAAAAGTGATAATTATACCACAAGACCGTCCTCCTCCTGATCATCCTGCATTAAATAATGGACATTCGTCATCACCATCAAGGTTCGTTTGGATAACTTATTTCGGAGTATGATTTAGGAACCATCCAGTTCATTCAGAAAAATAATTCGTGGCATTGTTACTCCTATAACTGGTGAAGTTCAGTACATTGTAATTATTACTAATTTAAATGTAGAACTTGACGTCAGTGTATACCAGATGTGTACGGTTTTGTGGACAGAATATGTTTCGGAATTATTATTTAGAATAAGCGATATATCAAAATACATGGTAGTGTGTCGTGTGGCGAAAACAACCTGCAGGACACCCTGTGTTATTAACAGGTGTGGTAATTTAGCAATTTCCTACTTTCTGTAGCTCAGACTGTGGTAATCCAAACTATCACATATTTTCGGGGGATGTAATCTACTGGACTCTTACTTCACATACTGAATTTCAAGGCATTCTATTAAAGAATACATGAGATACAAAATCTATAATTTTGTTTTAATTTTTTCCTTTTTTTTTTTACTTCGCACCAAAAGTACGGAAACTTTATTTGATAGAAAAACTTGCGTAATTTTCATTGATTTTTTTCAAAATTCTGTACACTGATAGATCCTTACAGTCTACAATTAGGTGTGAAACTTGGTTTAAATGTAGGCCACATGTGCAAAGTTGTTAAAGAAAAACCGCTCAATTTTGACCAAATATTTGCGCACGCCTACGCAAAAATTCACGTGAGTTATCGGCTTCAAATTTTTACTACAGCTTCACATAAGAGCAAATGTGGACATTTTTTTTAGTTTTTTCTCATTCCCAATAAAGACGGCTGATTTATAACAGTAAACCTATAGGGTGAAAGTACGTGCAAATACATAAGTATTGGTTGGGCCAAGCAAACTAGATTAGCAGTTTCTAGCTCAAGTTTTCAAAAAAATCATACGATTGGACAGTTATTATTCATTGCCAACTTTTAAGCACAAATTTGCTAAATTTTATTAAATTCTCCTAATTAAAGAGCGTTTAGCTTCACATGATATTAGCATAAATAATGATGCTTGATAGGGCTGCACTGAGTGCATGCGGGTGATGACAAAAACTGTTATTCGATATTCCATGGCGTTACTATAAAGAAAGTTTATTTACACTGTTTTAGAGAGGAAAACTACCACCATATATTTTAAACAATCTGGTTGGTTCTGAAATCATAGGTCTGATATGAATAATGGGGTTGCTATCCTAAAGCTAATGCTGGTTACTATCGAGTGTCACTTTCTTATTTTCTGTGGTTTGTTGGTGTGTATTGACAAAAACTCGTGATATCTAATCAAAAACATTTTAGGTGTGAAATAATT